TGAATGGGATATTTATCTCGATGATGCATTTAATATAGCTCAACAATCACGTTACGACAATCAACAAGTTACGAGCACTATTCTTCATCTTGATAACTAGATGCAACAGATAGCATTCTTGTTTGAATTTTTATTCATAAGCATAACACAGCAATTGATGATCGTGTTCAACTAGTTGATTTTTTATTTAATTAACTTCCCGTAGGGTAAGTTATTGTAATCGTCCAAAAATCGAAATTGAAAATTCTTACATTTCTTAACGTTTTGAAGGTTTCTGAACATTTTGGCATATCTCAGAAAAAATGGATATGTGTATATGTATGGATACAATTTTCCAGTCACGTTTTCGGGCTTTCGATTCCTATTGATAGGGAGATGTGCTGATCAGTTTTTGGCAAAGGCAGGTCCAGCGGTTACGGAGATAAAGAGCAAAAAGTGCAGAAAAAAGAAATCGAGTTTTCAAGAGAACGGAGCACCCGGTTTGAATGATCTAAAAAACATTCAATTTGTAATGATTGGGAGAAGAGATGATTAGTTTTTAGCAAAGGCAGGCCCAGCCATTTCGAAGATAAACAGCTAAATGTGCAAAAAATGGCAGTTTTATGAGAGAACTAAGCGTCCGATTCAAATGATTCAAAGAACTTTCTGCTTGTTTTAACAAAATAATGGATTTCGTAAAAAAATTGTTTTGTTTCATTTTTTTTTTGCAATTTTAGTTGATTTTTTATATACTTGATTTCTTAATATTTTTGCGCTTGATCGAATCTAATTCAGTTCAGTGTAAAATACTTAAAACTTTACAACATTCAACTTTAATTAAACGACGGAAAACTTTTATGTCAATGCAAAAAATAAATGCAAACAGAGTGAATTCTAATTAAAGAAAACCATTTACCAGGTTTTAAATTCAAGAGAGAATCACAAAATAAAAACTTTCATGTTGCGGAGTTATATAAAAACTGTTAATCCGCAGAGTTAATCTGGTGACAGATTCTCGGCACGTTGGTAAATAAAAGTTAATTAACAATTATAATATTATTTTTATCGTGATATTTTGTTTACTTGATCTTGTTTTTATATGATGCTTATGTATTTAATAATTGTTATAAAACTAATAGAATCTCAAATTAAAAAGCCTTTTATGTGTATAGTAGCAATATCACAATTAGTGAGGCGATTGTGTGTTTTTTTTATAATAACCATCGAAAATGAAAAATAACTATATATCACACTACTAAAATAACTATATATCACATTTACCAACTATTACTCGTTGGTAAGTGGCTAGAGCGGCAGATTCCGGGTTCGATTCTGCTTCGAGCAATTTGATGTCAAGCAGTAGTGCCATCCGTTTTCACTTGGAAATATAGGTAGTAATATGTTTCCAAGTGAAAAGTAGTCCTTATCTGACATTGATAAATCAATAAAACATTTAGCAGATTACAGAAATCGTGGTAATTTATTTTAAATTTTATTTATTTTTTATAATATACAAATGTAGGTTTTGAGACAACTTTTAGGGTGCTATTTTAAGGTATTTACAGACTTACAGCTGGGTATCTCGAATTCCGAGGTGAACTTACTATAATGACTGAATTATACCTAGGATTTATGGATGGCAACCAAAACAGTTGTTTCAACTCTATGTGATGGATGTTGAATAATACAATTCTTGTAGTCTTGGTAAACATTATGCCACTACTGCTTGATATCACTCTGTCCAAGAAAGGTATCAAACTTGCGACATCAAATAAAAATCCCATAGCTCAAACTCCTAATCCTAATAATTAAGAAAAATTTACAGATAATAATTTAGGTAATTGTAAAAATTTAGGTTAATTTTAAATTGTAAACCTAAATTAGGTAATTAGGTAAAAAGAAAGATAATTGAGATTTGTCAATTGCAATGCATGCAAAATATGTCTCAGGTCACCATAATAAATAAAAATTTATCTCTTATTTGCTAAATAATATTTTTCTTATACATTTTTCTCTCACCTCGGATTCCTGTTTTAAAATTTAAATTCGATTGTGATACCTGTGTACCGACTGCGGGAGTTCAAAGAGCGTCGCCTCTATCAAAATTCCATTAGTTGTTTAACTTTTCAATTACCTTTCCGAGTGAGGACACTAATTGGACAACGATTATACAATCAGTCGCGGAAGTACTTTACTTTACAGAAGGGAAGCGAAACAAAATGCTTGATAAAGAAATTTGATGACATTCGCTCCGCCCTGAAAACATCTTGTCAAGAGAAAGGCCTTTCTTAATTCATAATTGTAATAGAACATAATTGGTAACAACAAGAGGAGTTTTATCCGTTTAAATTTGATTTGGAAATTGAGCAATGTTATAAGAGTTACATAAATGGGACTAAATTTATCTTTGCTACTATTTTAGATTTTGTTTGAATGTATGCATATTTTACCTGGTTAGATACCCGCCTCGGGCAGCCTAATGCAAATTAGTGGTGACTAGAGTCTATACAAAAACCGATATTTCAGAAAACCGAATTTTATATATAAAATAAGATTTTCGAATTTTATATAAAAAATCAATTTTTTGTACAATATTCTGTAATAACAAAAAAAAAAATTATTGACAAATTTGGTGTGACTTAAAACAGTTTTTGACTGAATTTATTTAATGTTCAATTTTATGAATAGTAAAAAAAAATATTTTAATTTTAATTAGTAGAACAAAGAAATAATAGTTTATCTGGATTAAATTAATTATGAAAATGATTATGGATACCCGCCTCGGGCAGCCTAATGCAAATTAGTGGTGACTAGAGTCTATACAAAAACCGATATTTCAGAAAACCGAATTTTATATATAAAATAAGATTTTCGAATTTTATATAAAAAATCAATTTTTTGTACAACATTCTATAATAACAAAAAAAAAATTATTGGCAAATTTGGTGTGACTTAAAATAGTTTTTGACTGAATTTATTTAATGTTCAATTTTATGAATAGTAAACAAATTTATTTTAATTTTAATTAGTAGAACAAAGAAATAATAGTTTATCTGGATTAAATTAATTATGAAAATGATTATTCATTATTCATGCACCATTTTCGCATATGACAATAAAATATTTTTATGATAGTGAAAGAAAAGAATTCGAATTATAGAAAATAATTAATTTTTAAATAAAAAACTTATAACTTTTATTTAAATTTAAAAAAAAAATAGATACATACTGGTTAATGTAGATTTTAGTTCTAAAAACAATTAAACTAAACCCCGAATTTATTTATTCTATTCCGAACAATTTTAGTTAATTAATTTCAAATTTTTAATTATTTTGTGGTTTAATGAAATATGATTGCTAAACGTTGAGGACATCTGCCGATTTGTTATTTAGAAGTGTCCTTTGTCTACTCACAAAATTTTCCGAAATTACTCTCTCACCTGCAACCGAAGTAGACTTAATCGTTTTTAAAGCATGATATAATAATTCTGAAGATTTTATTCTTTTATTTGTACCTTCTAGGGCTGAAAACTCTTTTTGAAAGTTTGAGTAGAGAAATTAACTCCTTCAACAAGAAGTTATTGGTCTAAATTAATATATCCATTGATATAATAATCTAAATTAATATATACATTAGCCAAAAGATAACTCAGAACCTTTCTGAAAACTATAACAGACTGATGTGATACTAAAATTTATCGAACCGGTATAATTCCAAATATCAAAACTCTTGCTTCGATCTAGTATATTAGTCATTTTCCATTTATACAGTAAAAACCGATTTTTTAGCTGAACCCGGTTTTCAAATTTCATAATTCTGAAAACCGTCAAATCCTAGTGGTGACTTTGGTTTGACCAGGAAAATTATTTAATTATATTATATATAGATACTGCCGAATTAAAACGGTGATAAATATATGAAAATTGATAAAAATATCGGGTAGAGTTAATGATATGCATTGTTAGTCTGAACTTAGATTCAACAGATTTTTTATATAACCTCTATCTAAGCGCTAAATCAAATTAATACTTATTCCAACTCTGCTGATAAATATTAGGTATAGCCTTTGTAAAAACGTGCTCATAAAATTTGTATTTGGCATTGGGTAAATAATTTAGCTTTCAGTTTGGAAAACTCCTCACAATTCAAACTGAGACAGTAGGTGTGTTTGCCTCATATAAGGTAACGCGGACGGATGATTAGAAAAAATAGTTAATAGGCATATTTCTATTCTGATAGTTTTTAGTACCAAGAAAGAAGCGTTTAATAGTATATTTTGGGCCCGTAGGTAAGCGGTTAAAAGCGACGTGACTCAATTGAGAGATCCCGGGTTCGATACCCACTTCGAGCACGATTTTTACTTGGAAATATAGATAGCAATATGTTTTCAATTGAATATAGCCCTCACCCGGAATAGCTGCACCAATAAAAAGTTAGCCCTATTAGATAAATTCTAATAATAAAATCATCAAATATAGATCGATTAACCATTGGGTTATAAAATGAAATGGTTGTGAATTTTATATCGAATGGAAAAACAACTACTGAGTTGCTTTTTCCAACATGCCCTTGTAGTATACAATGTCCCTTTTCGGCCGACTATTGTAAATTCATCAAATTTATTGAATGTCCTTTACTGGACAGTTGTAAATAAAAGAGATAATAAAAGAAGCATTGGGTTATCATCTAATCATACGAAGTAATGAGAAGTTTTAGCCCAATAACTTATAAGACGTGAGGATTTGATTGCTGTCAGAATAAAAATAGAAAAAAAAACAGTCTATTTTACCAAAGAATAAATCCCTAAATTCAATATAAATAACAATGTTAGCATAAGCTAATTGTATTGATAATCTATTACCTTATCATCAATCTATAGCATTTATAACTTGGTAGATATAAAGCCCCGAATTAGTTATCAAAATTGTCTATAACATATATCTTCATTTAAAAGCTAGGAAATTATGAGAAAAACTGAAAAAAAGTATATTCCATAACACGTTCCATCTTTTTATTTCAGCAATTCTCGATTCGCTGTGCAATAACTTTCTTCCTCTGAACGTCTCTGCGATACTGTATCTGATGAACTACGAGCAATACGGTCGCAGTACGGCTTCCGCTCAATACTTCCTCCAGCTGGCAGGATACCTGGGGATACCGGTAATAGCATGGAATGCCGACAATTCAGGACTCGGTGAGTAACAGAATTAACAATTTAGAAACTGAAGTAAACGGATGATACATTAATTAGATTATGTGAATGATATCTTATCTATGCTGATATGTGTTTTTTTAATTTTAACACGTCGATATACCCTGCTTCTTTTCTGGTGCGGCTGTCGATAGTGACATCTTTATTTAAAATCTACCCCCAAATTATCACCATACTGGAAGCAACTAGTTAAAGGGCGTCATAGACATACACTACGCGAACTGCTAGTATATGCTATCCGTTGAATATAGTGCTTAAACATAGAAGGGTATGTGACGCCACATGTCTGAGAGAACATTGCCGACGACAATCGCCGACTCTCCTTATAACTTTATACGGAACTTTATACTGATCTATCCATAGATGTAATCAGAATCCTTTTTATTTTGCAAAAAAAAAACGATGTAATTTTTTTTAAGAATAATCCAAACTATTTTTTTCTACTGTCTCTTAAAATAAACTGTTTTATATTCTTGAAGTAAAACTTCTTTAGGCGCGACTAGGGTGTAAATCCGAACAAATGCAAAGGAAGTGCGTTACGGCAGAGTCGAATGCCAATGATTCGTCATTCGTCTTTCGTTGTATGCGTACCGGAATCAACGTTGTATGCATACCTGCATCAACGTTGTATTTGTACCGATATCAACAAGGAAATTGACATAGATTAACATTTTAAACTTACACCATAGTACAAATCTTGATTTAATAAAAAATGCCTAAATCAGAAAAATATTTTATTCTTGAAAACAATAAAACAAATTAAACATTGATTAGAAATTATTTCTTTATTAATCGTAGTTTCTATAAATCTTTGAAGTTATTAAAATGAAAAATATTTTTAGGCAAGGCAGATATTACATCTGTTCAAAGAATGAGATTATACCGCCAGCAAAAAAGTTAAAAAAATACAAGCAGTCAATGAATGTATGCTAATTTTAATTACATGAAGTTCTTCAAACACAATTACATGATGAGAGAAGTTGCGAAAATAATATTTGTTTAGGCGTTTTTTAACATAATCCACTGTGTGAACGAATATTATAGAATTCATTAATCAGCAATTACTTCATTTCTCTAATGAAGGTTCATTTCTAAATGCTAATTACAATGACAAATCGATCATGTCATATTTGAAGTATGACTTTAATTACATTATTGTTTTTAAATGTTATACATATTTTTAATGCTACTATATACTATATAATGGTTGACACTAATAAATGTGTGCATCACGAGTGTTACCATATTACTAATAAACATTATTCAAAATTGTTACATGATATATTTATTTTTACTTAACTTAAATTTGCTACTTTGTACAGTAGCAAATAATTTTTACATCAATCGCGTGTGATCCTTACGCACACTCTTTTTTTACATGTAAATGTACTGATCTAAAATATGTAATGAAGTAGTATAATATCTTAGGGTGACTTATGTACCGATCCACAATTATATTATGTTGTTCTACTATATAAATATACAAAATTATATCAAAATTAGAAAAAACAATATAGATCCAAAAAAACCGCTGTCAACGTATTAAAGTAAAACGTTTCCGGTGGTCAGAACTAGGTCTAAACCCATTTCGACCAACTTTATATCAAGCAGTAATGTATCAGATTATGCATACATTAAATATTGTGGAAAAATCATTTAGAGGGCATTACTGCAATATATAACATATGCGTTTTAGGAAACAGATCTAATAAAAATCTTATCAGATAGACAAAAGTCAACTTGTGCATTGAATTCTAGTAACACTAGGCTAATCATTCACATAAGCTGATGCAAAATCTAAATACATCTATTATTTTTTGAATGATTGCATATCAAATTTTATTCATAACTATATATGTATTATAACTTAATAAACATTAAATAATTTATTTATCATATTGATGTTCAAATCAAATCAATAGATTAGAAAAAACGTATCTTAAGGCTCTTATGATTATTCATAACAAAATTTAACCAGAGGTTGTAATAAAAAGATCTTCGTGCTTGATTGAATATATTCGTATGTTTTCTCATAAAACTCAGTCGGTCTGAAAATACAATTTCAGAGGATATTTGGGTCAAATATAAAAGAACCATAACCGAGCCTTAAGCATAGTTTTGTTATTTTTTAATTTGAATATATTTCAATAACTCAAAATTCAAAAAGTTTTACAACAGGCTATAAAATTATTTCTAATATTAATGTTCACATGTTGAAAATATTACGATAGTTTTTCAACAGTGTGCCAACAAGCCATTTTTACATACTAAATATCAACGGCTACTTTAAAATAAGCAACGCCATCTTTTTGAAAAATTCAGGATCACGAATACCGATATCGAATTCATTGATCATTTATTTACCTATTTCCACCAGAAGTGGCAGCTCCATATAAATAAATTGCAATGAATTCAAAATGTCTTTTCTCTTTGCAAGTTCCAGAAGTACACATTCCGGATAGATAACTTGTGAAATGTGGCATTATTGTGTAATGTTTAAAATTTTGGTATTTTTTATCTGTTAAAATTTGCAAATTACTGCTTTCAACTATATACGATGTTTTTCTAAATATTAATCATTTTCATGGAAATTACATACCATGTTGCAAAATGTCGACAATATAGTCTGAATTTATTATTTTTGTATGATCAATTTACCATGTGAGACATTTTAATAAGGTAATTTGTATTGTAGGTCATATTTTTATATGATTTAAACTTAGCTATAAATTCGTAGTTTTAACATAATTTATATAATTTTTTTTTTTTTTTTTTTTTTTATTTCTCTTTATTGAATTACAAACTGTCTTTATAAAAAGGAAGACATTCAGTAATTTCGATGATAAATGAAATATTAAAACTTAGTTCTAAAAGGTTACCCAGTAGTAAACCTTTTCAATTTTGATATTTTGAATTTAAAAATTGAAAATACAATGATTATATAGAGTAAACTTAAAAATAAAAAGATCTATGAGGTAAATGAGTATAAATTGTGAATTATAACAACAAATAAAAAAGACATAACTAATAAACTAAACATAACATAAAAATAAATAAACATATAAATAAACAACTAAATAAGTAGTACTTCTAATTGGAATGAATATATTATATATTATGTGGAGGTCAATATGTCGGATCCGTCGAGGGGGCGTTTTCTTTTTAGCCGTTCAATGCCGTGCGACTTCAATAAATTCTTGGCCAGAATATTTGGATGGTTTTGTACTCTGCTCTTATATTTTTGACTAATTAATTTAATTTCTTCATCAATAGTATTTATGTTTAGGTCTTGATGGACTAACCAGTTTGGTGTGTATTTGGGGGCGTTTAGTATTTGTTTCAAAAATTTGTTTTGGAATCTTTGTATAATTGCAATATTAGATTTACGCGCTGATTTATATAATTTAACAATTATTAATATATCGAATCATATAAGTAATGGAACTCATATTCTAGTTGCAGTATTACGCAATGGAATAATATTTTTAGATACACTCCCATAACGTCGTCAATAACTTTTATCATTTTCATGAGCAACATTCAAGTGCATCATAATAAAAATAAATGTAAATAAAATAATCATTTCTATAATAATGTCACTGCATTTCTACTCCGCGTTTTCTTCAATAATCAGAACACACGACAAAATAGCACTAGAAAGATACTTGCACATAGCTCGAATGCTACTTCAATTATAATTTTGATTTTCAATTTTGATAAGCTAAATCTAGGAAACTCTTTATGACTAGTCAGTACGTATTCTGAGATCGTGTTTTTGATAATGTTCTTGCGCATTTCATTCAATTTAACTCAAAGTAGAAAATTGATAACCTGGAGACATTGAAATTGTTGGTATGATAGCATAAGCTAAATCACTTCTGTTTTGTTTCAATTAAAAATCGTAAAATTTTGTTTATTTTAGTACAATCAGTAACTTGGGTGAATATATTTAAATGCCTTATTTAGTCCATTGTATATACCTACTACTGATCACATGGTGAACCATATTGATCAACGAACAAAATAGTTCACTTTTAGGTCAAGCATAAAATGGTATCTAACTTTATTCTATTTACTTTTTTTTAACTAATCTATGATGTACAAATATAATAAAAATGTAGACTGAATATTCTAATAATTCATAACAGAACAAAGATATTAAATTTAAGACAGAACCAAACATTTTAAATTAATCCATAAACATTTTCTAATATACTATTTTAAATTTTTGTACAGTCATCACTAAAAATTATTGGATACATAAATAAATAAATTTTAGATATTTTTATGAATTTAAGATTTGAATTTTTATATGTAAAAAAATGGCTCATATAGTAATAATTATTTTTTTCTGAAACTTTATTTTTTTTGTTTGAGTTGAGTCGTTTTTCCTAACATGCCCTTGTAGTATACAATGACCCTTCTCGGCCGACTAATGTAAATTCATCTAATTTATTGAATGTCCTTTACTGGACAGTTGTAAATAAAAGAGATAATAAAAAAAGTGCAAATCAATTTGTTGTCGTATTTTCAGAATATCCCAAAATATAAATTTTGTGTAAATGATTAACGTACAAAAATGTGCGTTTGGCAATTTTTTTATTTGTAAACTGTTTAAAACACGATGATGTATTGACCCTGATCTTAAAACAATAAAACAAAGCATAACATCAGACTTGAATTGATTTTCATAAGAAATGAGAAAAATTGATTTTCATAAGAAATGACGTAAATTGGCTCTTATCCAGTCAGCACTCATCTCGTTTAAAATTTTCTGTAGAAAAATCTACTGTCTTACTAAAAATAATATCATTGGAGTTGATATTACGTATAAAATGATACTACATTATGCTTCAATTTATTGTAATTTATTTCAAAGATGAATACCTATGGAAAAAATAGTTTGATTTTTCATATATTAGTTATTTTATTCTAGTATATTCAATTTTTGCAAACTTCTTGTTGCACATCAGTGCTCGAGGGTTCTTTTTATTTGCAATTATATTTTGGATCTGCATTTTTGAATAAATGTATATAATTACTTTCTGATATCATGTTTCATGTAACATGCAGGATTTGATCTCAGTAGCTGCCCGAATATAAGTTGAATACTTGCTCAAAAACAATGATTTTATCTGTGATTGCCAAAATGCATACGTATTCAAAAACATCCCCATAGTTACAAAATTGGATTTGGATCTACGTACACGCAATAAAATAATGTCAAACCATCTAGAACATTTCGGCAATGGCTGTTGCGGTTTCCAATTACATTTGGTCAAATTCGCCAGAACGTTTCTGTGGCTTATGCATTCAGTGTATATATAATCCTACTTTGTCGGAATTCCTCTGAGCAAATCTGTGTATCTATGTGCAATGTAAAACTGAACAGACTAGATCAATATATTGCACTATAAACTGTTTATCTATCTACATCCATTGAGATAAAAGACAATAATCTGTGTCAATATGGAAAATCAATATCAGGAAAATAGGAATACAGTCAACCCTCGGTTTACACGGTACTCTGGATATACGGTTCCCATACTACGCGGAGCTAAAAATCCGACATCTCTCCGACTACATGGTTATTGTTCAGCAGCTCATAAGTTTCTTGCGAAACCTATGAGTGATTCTAGTAACTTGATATCAAAAGGGTATTAATGTAAGTTTTGATATCGCCTTTTATCTTTTAGACATGCCTGATTATATAGTAGCTCTCTAAGAACACGTTTGAACTGACTCCTGCGTCGCGCTAATTTTTGAATGAGGTGTCTATTAAAGTTTATACAAAAACCGACATTTCAGAAAACCGGTTTTCGAATTTTAATTTGACTAAAAAACCGGTTTTAACCGGTTTTCGAATTTTATATAGAAAATAAATTGTTGCTCGAATATTCTGCAATTTATCCGCAAATTTAGTGTAATTTAGAATAGTATTTGACTGAATTTATTTATTGTTCAATTTCATAGATAGCAAAACAAAATTATTTTAATTTTTATTAGTAGAACTAAAGAATAATAGTTTATCTTGATTAAATAACTTTGAAAATAATTATTCGTTATTCATGCATCATTTTCACATATAAGAATGAAAATATTTTTATGATAGTGAAAGGAAAGTTTTCGAATAAATAAAAATAATACATTTTTAAATAAAAAAAGATTAATTAAATAAAAATAATAAAAAATATTGGATACATGTTGATACATACTTGATAATATCAATTTTAGTTTTAAAAACAATTAAACTAAACTTTTATTTCTATTCCGACCAACTTTAATTAATTAATTTTAAACATTCTAGTTGATTTTTGTTTAATAAAATATGATTTAAAAAAATTGAGAACGTCTATCGAATTGCTACTTAAACGTGTCCTTTGTTTACTCACAAAATTTCCTGAAATAGAAAATACTCTCATACTTGCGACCAAATCATGCTTAATTGTTTTTAAATCCTGATATAATAATTCTATGTTTTTTGTTGTTGAATTTGTAGCTTCTAGGGTTTAAAACTCTTTTTTTAAGTTTGAGTAGAGGAAGTTATATCTTCAAGAAGTTAAACTGATTTAAATTAATACATACACTGGTATAAAAATATCAATTATAATCATAATATTAATATATACATTAGTCAAAAGCTAACACAAAACCATTCTGGGAACCATTGCAGACTGATAAGATTCCAAATGCTATTGAACCGATATGATTTCAAGAATCAAATCGCTTTCATCTATCTTTTATATTTGGCTATATTTGTCATTTTCCATTCATACAGTGAAAACCTACTTTTTTCACTAAAAAACCGGTTTTCGAAATCCATAATTTTCACAAAAAAAACGGTTTTTAAAACCGGTTTTTGAAAACCGACAAACCCTAGTGTCTATGTCATACATGTCGTTTCGTCCAAATTACTCCTACTGTAAGTTGGAAAAAATTGTGCGATTTGTACTAATTCTGAGTCTCTCATAGCGCGGTTCCCATACTGCACTATATAAGGTTTCATAGAACGCACTACGAATTAGCCTGAATTGTATGTTAAATACGAGTTTTTTATAGCACGATCCCCATACTGCACGCACTTACCGCGTAAAGCGAGAGTTTACTGTACATATTTTAACTTGTTTACAAAATGAGCATGTTTTCTATTGATTGAACGGCAACCTGATTGAATAGTTATATGAGAATCCAGTTGCCCTTAGTTCTAGTTAGTGTTTGTATCTAATTTAAAACGTTATAAGGTTCCTAAATGTATGATATCTTTACTCTTACTAACTGACCTATAAATTTTCCCTCAGAAACAACTTTTATCATTCTGTCCATCTCAAAATCAATCAGTCCATCAATATGTTATCTGTCTGTGTCTATTCTAGAACGTCGGGCCTCTCAATCGACGCTTCAGCTCCAATTAGCGCCTTCGATCGAACATCAGACTGCTGCCATGTTGAGCATCCTGGAAAGATACAAATGGCACCAGTTCTCGGTTGTGACATCGCAAATTGCCGGACACGATGACTTCATACAGGCAGTCAGGGAGAGAGTATCCGTCATGCAGGTAATAAAATACTTCTTTTTAAATAAATAATTGCTTTTTGAAAAATGTGTGATCAGTATGAAAAAAGATTTTTGAAGTAAATAAGCAATGCAACGAAAATTCGTTCCGCCACAAATTTATGCGTTAACTCATTGGTCATCGATATGATCATTCCAAACGATTTGATATAATTGGTACAAGTCTTCTTATCATCGTCTTTGTCAATTGCGAAAGGTCAAATGTCAACCTATAATTTAAGGTCATGTCATTAAATTCTAGATTTAATAAAAATAAAAAACGTAGTAGTACTTACAGATCATATTAAAATATTACGACCCTACGTCAAGTCGCTTAATTTTAAACATTCTTCAAATTAGTTGGTATCGTTTTTTTGGCATTTGTCAAAATTAGATCTTTCATTCACGTTTGCTAAAAAACGCCTGAACCAATTTCAGAAATTTAAAAGCCATTTGAAGTGTCTCAATGAGGAATATCGTTTGTCAGTTTTGTGCGACGATCTGCCTAGCCGTTTCTTTGTAATTTGGAAAAATGTTAAACTTTTTATTCACGTTTAAGCTCATATTACCAAATCAATTTAAAAAAATCAAAAACCGTTCAAAAGATATTAGTTCGGAATGATACTGATTAGTTTTAAGTGAAAATCTACCAAGCCGTTTTCATGTAATTAACGGTTGAAAAAAAATTAAAACGATTCGTATGGAACTTTTTTGGCGATATATACCATGGTCTTATAGAACTTACTGAAATATTACGGTCTTACGACAAGTAGTTTAATATTAAAAATTCATCAAAGTTTGAAAAACTTAGTATAGTTTTTTTGACGTTTGTTAAAATTAAAATTAGACGATTTACATGGTATAACGATAGAGTACTTAGGTCTTAATAAACATACTAAACCATTAAAGACCTACTGAAACTGATTCAGTTATAAAAAGTATTGATTTTTAAAATTTTGCTTATAGAAAATACTCCAAGTTAATGTGTTTGTTCGTTTTCAATTATTTATAATGAATCCTCTCGAAATACTTTTAATCACTCACAAATTAATTTATTATTTATTGATTAAATCGATAATTTACATATATCGGAAAGTTTATATAACTTGTTTAATATTTTTTGAACAATTGTGATAAAGACGAATCAAAATAATGATATTTGTTTTATTAACTATACAGCATGGCTATCAAAATATGCAATTTTTAACTTCTATCAGAAATATTTTTTTCAACAAAATTGAGAAAGTTATGTGCATAAAAATCAATTAGCAAAGTATTATAAAAAAAATTGTTCCAAAATCTAACAAAATATGCTTAAAAACAAAATTTTATTTTAATACATAAATATACTTCTGTGTCTACAAAAATAAATGTCCACAATTTTGTACTGCCATCATCACAGTACGTTCCAAGTAATTACGCTACTGAGAACAAATCTTGTACTTTATTCTGAACATAAATTGCTCAAATTACGTCGTAAATGTCGTAAAATCTGAGACTAGTTTTATTTGATGCCACCCTATAAAATTGTCTGTCAAATTAATGTGTAATAAAATACTATAGATATTATGTGACATGTTGAGGAGGTTATGGAAGATGATTCATAAAATACCCGTGATGGGAAGGGTCATATTTTTAATAGATAAAATAGTTTTATAGTCTTAATCTTATTAGTAATTTTAACTTTTACTACGGGTATTACTATTACTAATAAAGAAACCTATTCAATGTTCATTTAATCTCTTCTGTAGTTAGAATTTGTGTGAATTTCTACTCAAATATCTGCTTTTCTTGTAAGCTTAATGAAGTCTCAAATACTCCACCGTAGCTTACAATTTGCTTGAAACTTCTAGCATGTTTAATCCTGTATTTGCATTATCCGTTCTGCAGTCGAAATGTGGTTTGTTAACTGTACTAATTAATTCAGATTTACTGAAATGGTATGTAATATAAATTATGAGAATTTCTATGTACATTTTATATTGCACTAGCTTTATTGTTGTAGCAAACTTAAAATGGCTTTCCAAAAAATTTAGAAAGTTTTTTCTGGCAAATTTAAAATGGAACACATAATATATCTTATTTGATGAGATGTTCATTTTTTCGGTTTCTAAATTGTTTCACACCAAAATTGGCAAAAGTGACTATTTTTTTAGCCTAAATTCCACCTCTCGTTGACCATTAATCAAAGCTTAATGAGAAACTTCTGCTTCTGCTAAGTAGTGTGTTTGTTCATATTTATAATTGTAAAATATGTCTACAGTTTTAGATTAAAAAACTGAAAAGTTGTTAGTTCAAAATCTAGGTGAGTAAGTTTTGGTAAAAATCGGTAGGACCGTTTTTGGGTAATTAATTACTGAGCATTTTTTGACGATTTTAACCAAAATATGCATACTAATAGTTCACGTGTCTTGAACTATCATTTCAAAATAATATAGGTATACGAAATGTAAATACAAAACGTTATCAAAATTTTGAATAATGCCATTTTGTAATTTTAAAATTCTGAATAACCACAGATATTGTGCATTTAAACACAATTTTATAGAAGTTATTCGATCAAAATTGGGAATGGTTTCATTATCATTTTCTAATAGAAATTTATAATTTATTATTAATAAAATTTAATAAGAATCTTTATATATGTGAGACGAAAAAAATAAAAATTGAGTAATATCTATCTAAAAAGTGAATAAATAAAATTAATCATATTGGTGTTATTGGAGGCAATAATGATTATTTTCTTATAATTTTGATCAACAATTACATGATTTTACTATTCTTTTATTTAAATCTTTCATAACAAAAATTTGCTTCGAAATTTGAATTTTCAATTGGAATATTGTACATGACATCTTTCGTTAATTCATTATTTTTGAACAATTTACAACATTTTCAGAAAATGCACAATATTTAGCCATAATTTTCAGATGATTCATTAAATTTTCATATAAGCTTCAATATTGTCATAAAATTTGCTATATTTTCAGGCTACTTATAATATCACCAGACAACATAAAATATTTACTAATTATTTGAACATTTGGACTTCTCAGATAAGGTACAAAATATTACGAATTACTTGCAATTGTGTCAAGCAATTTCTGACAATCTCATATAATATACTAAATTTTCTATGAACTTGCAATGAGTTGAGTTCCAACAGTTATGAACAATTTATAGCATTTATGTATAACTCGCAGATTTCTAGAAAAATTGTAATATTTTAATTCATTTTAGGTAATATACCTTCATACAAATTACAATATTTTTATGCAATTTATAGCAATCCCACCTATTTACAATATTAATAAACTATTTGCATCGTCTTCTGACAATTTTTGATACTCTCATATAATTTATAAAACTTTGATGCAGTTTGCAATATTTTCGGACAAATTATAACTTTTACAGGCAATGCAAAATACTTCCAAACTCCTGGCAACATTTTTAGGTAATTTATAACAATTTTATACAATTTACAAGATTTTTAGACAATTTAGAGAATTTTCATCCAATTGTTCAATATATTCATGAAATTGATAAAATCCATACTTCTAACTGACTTACAGCATTTTTAGGCAAAACACGAAATCATTTACGAATCATTTGCAACACTATCAGAAAATTTATTTACTCTCATACAATAAACAGCATATTCAGTCAATTTTTGCATCTTCATACAATTGTTCAATATTTTCTTCTAATTTGCAATATTTTTAAATGACTTATAGCATCTTTAAACAATTTATATAATATAATAATACAAAGTATACAAATCATTTACAGCAACTATAGGCAATGCATTACGATCTCATACCAAAGACTACATTTTCAGACATTTTTTAGAATTTTCATACCATAGTTCAATATATTTAAGAAATTTGCCGCATTTCCAAATGACATATAATGTTCAAACTTATCTTAACAATCTTCAAACTTATTTTCAAACAATGTAAAAAAATCAACTTCAGACAATGCATGACTATCTCATGCCCAACACAATATTTTCAGGCAATTTTTGGTATTTTCATACAATTTCTACTGTTCAATATATTAACCACATATGCAATAGCGTTGAATGACTTACAACATTCTCATACAATAAGCAAAATTCCGAAATAATTTGCAACTTTATCAGGCAATGCATGACAATCTCATCCTACTTGCAATATCCTATGCCTATTAGCAAAACTTTCAGATGACTTATACGATTTTTGCTCGATGTGCTACAATTTTGTCCTTTTCGATGGCAAATATTTCACCCTAAACTGCCCCGAACGTTTAATCCTTTATTTGCATTATCGATTTTGGCTTCGCCTGTCGGATCACTTAACCGCATTAATCACCACGAATAGGATATTGACTAGTCAATACTCTGTTCCATTTGCCAAATTAATTGAGCTACAATATAAAGTTCGTGTTCGGATCACTCGTGTTTTACGAAATGCCATTACATTGTTCTACATCAATCTTTCCAAAGCTCCCTGTTTTTTTAATTAAAGATTTTATCTCAAACTACATGAAAGAGCGAAAGAAAAATGGAACTTAAGAGAAGTCTTTTGTTAAGCAAAGTAGTCTATTGTGAAATGACTTGGTCTACAGCTTTGATGATGATTGTGATGATTCATGTGGAGATTTTTTTATGATATCCTGTACAACATTGCTTTAAATTAATTTTAGTAGTGATAAATCTACGGTATGTCTCAAACTGACATTCAACTAGAGTAAGAATGCTTCTGGAATGTGCTTTCGTGTAATGGTTAGATGCAATACTATCCACAAAATTTAATTAAATTTTAAACTATTTATATAGAAGTGTTGGTGTTTAAAGATTTTTTTAAATTGTGAACTGTTTTACCCTGAATCCAGTAGGTAGTACTGCCCATTATCATTATCAAAAGTGTAAACAATATTTATATCATTTGCAACATTATCAGGAAAATTTATGGCTTATAAAATAAACAACATTTTTAGTAAGTTTTTGAAATCTTCACAGATATGTTCAATATATTCATGAAATTTCCCACATTTTCAAATATCTATTTCAACATCTTTAGACATTTATAAGTTCAATATTTCTAATCATATTTAGTATACTATTGTATTTATTTTATTTGAGTATTATTTATTGTACTTGAGCTTTTTGAAATTATAATGCTAATATGAGCCTTTTGAGTATGTTTGACGGTAGTTTTATTATTAACGTTTTATAACGCACGATATTAGTTAATTATTATCACATTCAAAAATGTTAGAAATTAAAGATCAAAATGAAGCATAGGAAATTTATTTTAAAGTTGCATTTGTTAATTAATGTAACGTAAACTTACTTAGGTATTATTAAGTCACATATATATGCATTATATCACTTTTATTTGCAGTATATGATGTTTATCGGTAATTTGGTAATAATTTCAGTCTTGTTTCATTCTGATAGAAAACTATATGGAGCACATTTGCTCCAAGTCAGAATTTTAGCGTGCCATGACATATATAATGTAAAAAAATGTATAAAATTATCTTTTAGATTGATGTCTAATAAATCATCATAAATTATTATACTATTGAGTATTAATCAAATAAACATACAGTTATTTATGGAATGCACTTCACAATAATTTATTTTAGTAAAATGATTAAAGCTAAGTCTAATTGATCATTTCTTATTTTACACTTTTTCTGATTCAAGTTTTAAATATAAACTTCCTTATAAGAGTTAACATAAATGGTGCTTTAAGTGACAATAATTGTCCAAGTAATCTGGATCTATTTTTAGCAGATACGCCACTGGATGTAGCTGCTAATTTCCAGTCATTGTTTTTGTTCCATATATTGTATCTGCTCATAGTATGTGAAAACAAAAATTGCATAATAGAGATAAATGCAAAATTATTAATGAATTTAAAGTAAAATGTAGCCAGTTTACTGAAATTGCTATACCAATGCCCAATTTCGTAATGATTTATGATGATTTATATATAAATTGTGTTCCCGAGTCTACTAATGCCAGGTTTAGTACCAAATTTATATGATCAGAAAAATAATAATGAATATAGATAAAAATTTAAAATAATAAATTTGGGGCAAATTGTCTATTTTGCTAAGGTGAGTTCTTGTTTAACTGTAATATTAACAAAATCTATGAAAACCTGTGAATCATCAAGAATATGATTGGCCCGGCCGATCTCTACCAAAAACTCATCAGCACGATTCCCAACCAATATCTTTCGAACGGTTTTTGAATTTTCAAATTTGATTCAGAACTGCGGGATAAAACGTGGACAACAAATTTTTCATTTTTCTATGATTTACAAAGCAACGGTTCGGCGGATCGTAGCGCACAACTGGCAAACGATAGTCCTCATCGAAATACATCGAATGGCTTTTAAATTTTTGAAATCGGTTGAGTCGTTTTTGAGCAAACGTCGATTTACGGCAAAAAATCTGTTCACATACACACATACATATACTTTTTCAAATTTGGTCTCATTCGATTCAGAATGGCTTGAAACGTCGAGAAAACATAAAATTAGCGAATCGGATTTTTTAATGAAAACATTAACTCCCTCAGGAAGTTAATAATGAAAATAGATAAGTAGAATTTAAAATATTAAATTTGGTGAAAATTGTCTGTTTCGCTGAGGTGAGCAATTCTTGTTTAACTGTTATATGTACAAAATATATGAGAACCTGTGAATCATCAAGAAGATACTAATGATTTGAAGCTAACAACTTATCGAGTAGAATATACATTATTAAAAAATTAATACCAGCTGCATTAATAGGATCTAGATTGCAGCAACCCTTGCTTTCTAAGTTTTTCTCTACAAATATTCTTTATCTATTTCCAGGATCGTTTCAAATTCACCATCCTGAACGCTATCTTGGTAACCAGTCCAAAAGCCGATTTAGTGGAATTGGTTCAATCGGAATCCCGGGTGATGCTCTTGTACAGCACTCGGGAGGAGGCGAGCGAGATCCTCCTGGCCGCCAGAGATCTACAGATCACCGGCGAGAATTACGTGTGGGTGGTGACGCAGAGCGTTATCGAAAATCTCCAGACGCCCTACCAGTTTCCAGTGGGAATGCTTGGTGAGTTGTTAACTGAGATTAGAACTGAATTTTAAATAGTTGCTTTTCTGCTGGGAATTGTTGGTTGTGGAGTCGATAATACGTATAGTTGTATAAGACTTAGACTTATAAGTTGTATAGTTGTACCTTATATCGTAGTTGTATAAGAAACAGGATTTGATTAATTTATTTTGTTAACATTCATACTCATGGCTGTTGCAACGTTGATATTCATGAGAGTAGTATAAGGTCGACCAAAAAAAATTCGCTGGCTGATTTCAGGCGTTTTTTTTCTTTTTTTTGAAAAATGCGTAATTTCGAAAATTTCTTTTTTTTCTAAATTTGTTTTTAAAATTCCTGTCTTTTGGCTTTCAATTTTTTAGTTGTTGATATTGATCCTAGACAAAAAATTTTTTTAAGGAAAATTTAAGATTTCTTTGTGTGATACAGCACTGAGCCTGTCATGAACTCTATGTATCTAACTATTAGTATCTATTTTGTCTCGGGCAAACTGATATCAAGTAGTTAAACGCAACCTGATTTCAAGTGAAAATAGGCCGTTGCTGCAGAAACACAGCTAGATCAGATGATTATTTCAATTATCTTCTAATAGTAAAAAATATTATATACAATTTTAATATGCTAGGGCAATTAATGAGTTGCATTCTATTAGCATTCTTCAAATAACAAATATCAGATCAATAACAGAAATTCGATGTTAAAAAAAGATATTGATGAAATTGTCTGGTTTACTGATAAATATGAGAAAAATATTATTTTTATAGGTAGTACGAATGATTTAATTTTTTTTTTTTAAATATAATTCAAGGCCTAAAATAAAGTATATGATAAAGATTATTAATTTCCTTTAGTAAGTTATAGTAATGGGCTGAAAATCGAAAACTTTTGCATATCTTTACGTTTTGAAGGTTTCTGAACATTTTTGCACACATCAGAAAAAATGATATTTGTGTGTAGGTATCTTCTGTATGTCCGCATTTTTTCGTCCACGGTCTCGCGCGCACGGATCAACCGATTTGAATGGTTAGAAAAAACATTCAATTACTATTGATAGGGAGATGTGCAGATTAGTTTTTAGCAAAGGCAGGTCTAGCCATTTCAAAGATACAGAGCTAAATATACAAAAAATTGCAGTTTTTGGGAGAACTGAGCATCCAATTTGAATGATTTAAAAAACTTTCTACTTATTTTGCCAAAAAAAATTTCATTTTTTTTTTCTTTTTGTTTCAATTTTTTTTGTATATCAAAAATAATTTAAATTTTAATTTTAATTCTGGCAGAAGTTCTAAAGCTCACTTACATACTTTAAATAAATAATTTTATTTTTGTAATTTAGTTTATATAATTCTTATAAATAAATATTAGACAATATAACATTATTGATTATAACCTATTTGAAAATATTTAATATTCCTCGATAATTTTGTTACGCTGCGAAAAGTTCCAGCAATTTACCTTAAGGCACGATGCCATACACCACTAGTTTTAAATCATTCGAGTTATGCCTCAATGCAAGTTTCGTGAAATTATTGATATGTGAAGTTAATCGACTTAATCATTAAGAAATTTGGCGATATTTTCTACTGTTTCTATAAAAATTAATGTTTATTTATACCAAGTTTAATGGTCTTTTATAACTATATCATATTTTATAGAATTATAATATTTTAGAATGTTTGTTTAAAATCGTGAAAAATGTTTTCAACAACTAATAAGTATGATCAACAACTGTTACATTTCAAAGAGATTTAAAATTAGTTCAAAATTTTTCACAAAATTGTGGAGAAAATTGTTGCACTTTTCTGATAATTATACAAAAACGTCTTCGTGGATCTCTTTGATACTATAAGTGCTAGTTCTTATGCAGTTTTATCAAATGGCTTGGCGATTAATAAAATGTTGACAAAAAATCAAATTATGACATACAATCGAACTTGTATTTTCTCAAATTTCAGTCTAAATAATTTGTAATCACTTTCAACGTCGAGGAAGTATAACAATAACACATAAAATTTTCTGAAAAAATCACAAACAACTCCTTTGGTGAGTTACATTTTATTTCATCAGATAACTTACCAAAGTTACTTCTTTCTCAAAGTAAAATGTTATTATAAAATCAATTTTACACTTCACTGAAAACAACTTGTTGAGACTAAAATTACATAGTGAGATATGAGAATATCTGTTTTACAACCTCCTTGAACATATAATTATTACACCGCTATCCACTAGATCATATTTTACGAGTAGTAATATTTTAAGTTAATTAGCTAATTAATTGACGATAGCTGATCACTTAGATGCAGAGAGTATATTATCGAGTTACATTTATAATCACTCACCAGTGTAAACTTGAGTCTATCAAATTGCCTTATCCAAACTCCTTCCGCTTATCTTGTTACTGTTTCCTAGGTACATTATGATATTATGAGTTTAAACTTGCATATTATGTAATTTTCGCGAACCATTATCTTGGTTCTGAGCCCAACGGAGCGTATGAGCGCCAAGCTACCGAATTAATATATTATCATTTTGTCAGATAATAAATATGAAATATAATATATGAAATAGTTGGCGAGTTGGTAATAAAAGAATCTTCAAGGTTCTGAAAAAATTGTTTATGGTTTATTGGATACTGGTTTACTCGTGGACCAAGGCTAGGACCTGAATCATAGGTTCCGGGTACGATCACGTTTGGAGGAGCTTGATGTCAAGCAGTAGTGACATCGGTTTCCATTTGGAAATATAAATTGCAATGTGTTTTCAAGTCTACTGCAAGTAGTGCATCAATATCAATTATGATACAGAAATTGAGAAAAAATCTGTTACACAAAATAGCGACAACTGTCTAGGTTTCCATATGTAAAACCGACGTAACATTCAGTCAAATTAACAAACATATATATATGTATATATATATATATATATATATCTTATATATAAAATTCTTCTGTGTGGATGTATTATTTGATACTTTTCCTAAACGGTTATTCGGATTTTGATAATTCTTCTTAGAGTTTATCAAAAAAAATTTTTAAAATTAAACGAACGATAAAACTACAGTAATATTGTAGAAATAAATGGCAAAAATTACAAAAAAACACTTATCATTGTTTGACATTGAAAACATTTGAACTGTCATCTACTAGAATCAATTTAGCTGAAATTATGAGCCTAGATAACATTAGAATGTAATATACAAGAAAAATTAAATGTTTACATTATTCTTGTCGAAAAACAGCTAATGTATGTCAATTAAAATAATATAAGATACAGTCAACAGTATATGTTTGGCAGATGTAATTTTATAATTCAGCTTAATAAATAACAAAATAAGTGCAAAATTGCATATATAATTGTTTAAACTTATTAATGTCGCATTTTGGTTCACTTTACTAAATTATTTAACAATACAAAAAAATATTTCTACTTATTAAAAAAAATTATTTAGAAAAATTCATTTGTTTGGTATTGGATATGGAATATTTAGCAAGTTGATCTTAGATTGAAGAGTTCTCATATGAACTTGAGTTTACAAATTAATTCACATAAGATTTTAACAATAATGTTTATTAAATTATTAGTATGAAAAATGTACTGTAGAAATTATAATTGCCAAAAAGCAATGTATAGGATAGGATATTAAAAAATTGGATCATTTGAATTGTGAACTTGGATACAGGACAACGCCTGTCGGGTCAGCTAGTATACATATATATATATATATATATACTGTGGCTTCATGTTAAGAACTCAGACTAGCAATCACTGGTTCCTAGTTCAGTACCCATCATGATATCAAGTAGTAGTAATATTTCATTAAAATTATAAATCTAAATTATGAGAATAAGTAATGATACCCTGTGACTTATACCTACAGAATAAAATACGAAAAAAAATTATGCCTTTAGATTAGTTTTTGATTTTGCATTTTACTATATTTGATAAAATTCAAATTTTGTAAATATAATTGATACGTGACTGGTTGTTTGCCATATTTGCCATGTTCACATAAAAAATTACAACTTAATTTCAGAAGCATTTTTACAAGAGATAAATTAAATAATAAGTTATTCCAACTCTGCTGATGAATATTTCTATCGAAATGCTAGATCCAGGTTTTATACAGTTATCTGTAAAAATATACCCACAAAATTTAAATTTTGCATTAGTTAAATAAGCCACTCAAGCCGAAATTTTATTGAAATTAAAAATAACACATTTGACCTGTTTGCCCTCTATATGTCCCATTTTATCGCATCTATGGGGTAATATGGACCAAGTGACAAATTTTTGAAAAACAGCAATTAATACATTTCTACAATGATGAAAGAGCTGGAAGTTCTACTGAATATAGTCAGATAGTTGTTTATTTGTTGTGTTAGAATTGTATTGGTTTTCACAGTTTACTCATAGTGAAATTTGACCTTTTACAAGAGATAAATCAAAGAAATATTCATTCCAGCACTATTGATGTATACTTCTAACAAAATACCAAAATCAAGGTTATATTATAAAAGTAATATTGAAATGCTAATAATTTTACTTAAATTTTCTACTATCTAATATTCCATGAAGTTGTTACAAAGTTCTATTCAGTTCCAGTTTATGATTTTGCATTTTGTATGTTACAAACGAGATTAATGTGAGCTGATAATGTCTTGTATCGTGTAACAAGATTTATTTCGTGCACTTCGAGAGCGCAAATTATAATAACTATCTTGAATCTACGCTTCTTCGAGCATCCTATAAGACATCTTATGAGATTAAAGACCATTAAATATTTTATAGAGATAAATTTCTGGAACTACTTAATTTGTAAATTGTAATAAAAATTGAAGTACTTGTTGTTTCTATTCTACTAGATATTATTAATTTTCCGTAGGGTAGTTATAGTACTGGGCCAAAAGTCGGAAATGAAAATGTTTGCATATCTTCACGTTTTGAAGGTTTCTGAAAAATTTGGCATGCCTCAGAAAAAATGGATTTGTGCGTGTGTTTTCGTCCACGTTTTCGGGCGCAAGGATTTACCTATTTAAATGGTTCAAAAAGCATTCGATTCCTATTGATCGGGAGATATGCTGGTTAATTTTTGGCAAAGGCAGGTCGAGCCGTTACGGAAATACGGAGCAAAGAATGCAGAAAATACAAATCGAGTTTTTGAGTGTACAGAGTATCCGATTTGAATGATCTGAAAAACATTCAATTTGTAATGATTGGGAGAACGTTAATTAGTTTTTGACAAAGGCAGGTCCAGCCGGTTCGAAGACACAGAGTTATATGTACAAAAAATAGCAGCTTTTAAGAGAACTAAGCGTCCAATTTGAATGATTCAAAGAACTTTCTGCTTGTTTTAACAAAATTATTGCTTTTGAAAAAATCAAGTTTTTTGTTTCAAATTTATATCAAAAATAATTCACATAGTTTATATAATTCTTATAAATATTAGACAATGTTATAATATTTATAAAAATCTATTTGAAAACATTTAATATTTCTCGAACATTTCGTTACGGTACGGGAAGTTCCAGCAATTTGCCTTAAGGCACGATGCTATACACCTCACTAGTTTAGTATGTATTTACATTAAGATTCGATACCTATCTTACAATTTCAATTTAAATGCATAATGTGTGCAAATTGAATAAAGAGGAAAATTTCAATGTAATTTTATTGATGGTTTCACTAATGGAAATGCATCAATTAGATATATTTCAAATAGTATTTTCAAAGAACTGCTTCAAAGCTTTACATGTTAGCCCAATTACTTATTCGAGAACACGATCTGCATACATTTTATTCTTCTCATTTAATATTCATGAAATTAACGTTACGATGGGTCTTGTAAAATTCGAGCTTAAAAAGCTTCTATTTTTAAAAGAAATTGAGAATACATTCGTACGCCCTATTCTGTAATATATGATAATATTTGGTATGTATATATAGTGAAGTTGAAACTTGATTCCCAGAAAGACGAAAAATCTATGAGAATATTTTTGATTTTTTTGGCTGCACTTAAGTGTATATTAATTAAGAAGTTAGTAGAAAGCAATAGAAATTTTATGACAACTGCTATATTAGTTTTCGAGATATTCGCTTTCAAAGTTTTACAATGTTTAAAATAAACAAAAAAAATTTTCATTTTTTCGACGACTTGTATGGTAGATAGAGGGTCCAAATTGGAAATTATTTCCTAAAAAACTAAAAATCATCACATAAACTAGAATACTAAATTATTTTACTCAGACTGATAAATATTGAATATCTAAACACTAGATGTTCATAGGCCACACTCATAGCAAAATGGGTAAAATGTTCATTATCACTTGGTTTAAATATTTCATCACACATTATATGACAACTTACAGACTAAACAGTTTACATCTACTTTAGGAGATATTTAATTTGCAATAAGAGAAGCCCACAGAGTTAATTCACATAACTATAATACATAAAGAGACCCTGATGAAAATGAGCAGCATAATTCACAAACACAAAATATATATCATGAATATTACAACAGGTACGAGTTAGTGTAATGTAGTCTTAAATTACATTTTCGTAATAACACAAAATTATTTCAAATGGTTTTGATTTGTAATTAGGGTAAAATATTATATTCAAAATGTTTTAAATTCATGCTGGCGTTTACACAAAAATGTTATAAAAAACCAGTTGGTATTGGTATTTTGCCTCGGAAAGTTACATGAACTTCCCGATATGTGTAAATCATCGACTTCATCAATATAAAATAAATTAATTTATGAGTTATTAAAAGTATTTCAGGTAGATTTATTACACATAATTGAAAACAAACGAACACGTTAATTCGGAGTATTTTCTAATAGCAAATTTTCAAAAATCTACAATATTTATAATTGAACCAGTTTCCGTAGGACTTTAATGGCTTAGTATGTTCATTAAGACCAAATACTCTATCATTATTCTGAGTAAATCGTCATATTTCAATTTTAACAAACGTTAAAAACTTATTTTCTCAAACTTTGATGAATTTTCAAAATTAAACCACTTGTCGTAAGGCCATAATATTTCAGTAAGTTCTATAAGACCAGGATATATATCGCCAAACAAAGTTCCATTGAATTCGGCTAACATTTTTTTTCAACAATTAATTACAAAAAACGGCTCCTTAGCTTTTCACCTAAAACTAATCAGTATCATTCCCAACTAATATCTTTCGAACAGTTTTGATTTTTTTAAAATCGATTCGGTAGTATGAGCTTAAATGTGGACGAAAAGTTGTACACTTTGTTTTCAAATTACAAAGAAACGACTCGGCATATCGTCTCACAAAACTAAAAAACAATAGTCTTCATTGAGATACATCAAATGGCTTCTAAATTTCTGAAATCGGTTCAGGCGTTTTTGAGAAAACGTTGAATAAAGGTCTAATTTTGACAAATGCCAAAAAAAACATGCTAATTTTCGCAAACTTTGAAGAATTTTCAAAATTAAACGACTTGTCGCAGAGTCGTAATATTTTAGTATGATCTACAAGACTATTTTATCTACGGTCCAAAAAAAGTCATAAAAATCGCCGTTTTTTTTTTAACTTTATTACAAGGAAACGTCCGGCCGATCTTAGGCAAGAACTAATCAGCACGATTCCCAACCAATATCTTTCGAACGGTTTTTAAATTTTTATAATCAATTCAGAAATTCGGGCTAAAACGTAGACAAAAAATTTTTCACTTTTCTGCGATTAACAAAAAAACGGCTCGGCCGATCGTCGCACAAAACACAGAAATGCTAGTCCTCATCAAGATACATCGAATGGCTTTTAAATGTTTGAAATCGGTCCAGCCGTTTGGGAGAAACGTCGATTTACGTGTCTGTTCACACACACACACACACGCACATACTTTTTGCAAATTTGGTCTCATTCGATTGAGAATGGCTTGAAACGTCGAGAAAACATAAAATTAGCTAGTCGGATTTTTTTATGAAAACTTAATCTTCTCTTTCGGGAAGTTAATTATCAGCCTCAGTTCCATGTCGCGAGGTCACCAGATATTTAACACCATCTTATATACTGACTACTTGCATAAACATGTCATCTCTAAGTTTTTGTGACGACAAGGTCGTCAATAGTACATACCATGTTTAAACGACAAATTCTTATGATATTTTATAATATTAATATATTATATCACGTAAATATTTCTTTTATTTCAGGTGTCCACTTCGATACATCCTCTGGTTCCTTAGTAAATGAAATAACGACTGCAATCAAGGTGTACGCTCACGGTGTCGAAGGATACGTAAATGATCCGAACAACGAAGGCAATAATCTCAACACCCAGCTCAGTTGCGAAGGAGCAGGAGACTCGAGATGGGCCACTGGAGATAGGTACGTCCATAGTTATTCTACTGGAATAATTACATTCCGAGAAAATCATTATCGATAACCGCAACGAATTGATACTGTTAAAGTTTCGAATAGTTGTGTTGCCAAGCCGAGAAATTGAGCATGACACGAATAATTGATACCACCAGGGTAGAAATTCAAACTTTTGTTAGTAATATAATAACAATGTTTATTATTAGCCATATTTTGCTAACTACCAATATTTTTGAAAATATTTTTTTATATACTTTTGGGAAAGACAAACTTCATACAAAACTAGTTGGTATTGGTATTTTGCCTTGAGGCAAGTTACATGAACTTACCGATTTGTGTAAATAATCGACTTAATCCATGATAGATAAATTAATTTATGAGTAGTTAAAAGTATTCGAAGTGGCTTTATTACACATTATTGAAAATCAAACACGTCAACCCCGTTGGAGTATTTTTTAAAAGCAAATTTTCAACAATCAATAATTTTTATAATTGAGCCAATTTTTTGTAGGACCTTAATTATTTAGTATGTTCATTAAGACCGAGTACTCTACCGTTATACCAAGTAAATCGTCTAATTTTAATTTTAACAAACTACTCATTTTTTAAAATTTTGATGAATTTTTAAAATTAAACTACTTGTCGTAAGGCCGTGATATTCAAGACAGAAAGTTCTATAAGACCATGATATATATTGCGAAAAAAAGTTCCATGAAAATTGGCTTAATTTTTTTTTTCAACAGTTAATTACAAGAAAACGGCTCGGTAGATTTTCACCTAAAACTAATCAGTATCATTCTCAACTAACATCTTTAGAACAGTTTTTAATTTTTAACTTCCCGTAGGGCAAGTTATAGTAATCGCAAAAAAATCAAAAATGAAAATTTTTATATATCTTTACGTTTCAGAGGTTTCTGAACATTTTGGCATACCTTAGAAAAAATGGATGTATGTGTGTGTGTGTGTATGTGTGTGTGTATGTATGTATGTGTGTGTATGTATGTGCGGATACAAATTTTCGTCGACGATTTCGGGAACACGGATCAACCGATTTGAATAATTCAAAAAACATTCGATTCGTATTGATAAGGAGACGTGCTGATTAGTTTTTGGCGAAGGCAGGTCTAGCCGTTCCAAAGATACGGGGCAAAAAGTGCCGAAAACGGTAACTCAGTTTTTAAGAGAACGAAGCGTCCGATTTGAATAATTCAAAAAACATTTTACTTGTATTGACAAGATGAAGAATCGATAAAATTTTCATGAAGGTAGGTCTAGCAGTTTCGGAGATATGGAGGAAAAAGTAAAAAAATGAGCCATTTGGCGGTCAAAAATGATCATTAGACATATGCTCATAAAATTATCAGATATTTTATAGAGATTTTAACAATAAGTATTCAATTTGTTAACATTCCTATGGGTTCCGTACCAATGCTTATGCTTTAGACAGCGACGCGACGCTTACGCGCTTTATATTTTGTCCCTATGCAGTTAAAGCAGTACGATTGATTGCTTTGAAAAGAAAGTTCAGATCTTCCACAATATGTCAAAATAAAGAAAAAAAAATTTTTTTCAAAAAAAAAATTAAAAAATTTTTTTTTTTTTAAAAAAATTTTTTTTCAAAAAAAAGTAATTTTTTGTCCAATTTATAGTTTCTCAAAAATCTTATTTTTTCGAAGTAAAATTTTTTCAAAAATGTTAAAAAAATAATAATTTTTGGTACGGGAAGTTCCAGCAATTTGCCTTAAGGCACGATGCCTTAATTGCCTTAAGACAGAATTCCACTTACAGCTAGTTTAACATCGATTTGGTAGTATGAGCTTTGTGGACGAATTTTTACCAAAAACTCATCAGCACGATTCCCAACCAATATCATTCGAACGGGCAGAACTGCGGGCTAAAACGTGGACGAAATTTTTTTCACTTTTCTGCTATTTACAGAGAAACGGCTTGACCGATCGTCGCGCAAAATTGATAAACGCCAGTCCTTATCGCGATACATCGAATCGCTTTTAAATTTTGAAATTCGGTTGAACCGTTTTTGAGAAAACGTCGATTTACGGCAAAAAATCTGTTCACATACACACACATACTTTTTTCAAATTTGGTCTCATTCGATTCAGAATGGCTTGAAACGTCGAGAAAACATAAAATTAGAAAATCGTATTTTTTGATGAAAACTTCTCCTTCGGGCAGTTAATAATAAAATATTTTTTAAAAATAAAAAAAATACAAATCTTTAAATTTTTTTCTTTCGCCTAAAGCAATCGTTTTGTCAAACTGCTATTTTTTACACATTTAGCTCTGTATCAACAAAATGAAACGGTTGCAAAATGAAAAATTGAATGTTTTTTGGATCATTCAAATCGGATGCTCTGTTCTCTCAAAACCTCGATTTCTCTTTTCTGCACTCTTTGCTCCGTATCTCCTAAAAAGCTGGACTTGCCTTTGCAAAAACCTAATCGGCTAACTATTCAAATGGAAAAATTCTATACATTACTCGTTTTTGAGATAATGAAGGATTTTATTTTATTCTGAATCGTTTGACATCAAAAACCTATGTATTTGTATGAATGTGTGAAAGGATAGTAGCCAAAATTGGATTCTCATCGTCGATTTTATACAAATATTGTAGAATTATATGAAACGTGATAACGACTCTCGTTGATGAGTTTCTCGATAAGTCGTTTTTTCAATTAGCAAATAAGTGCAAAAATATTTATTTACTTTTATATACATTGCATTTATTGCACTACATTATGTATAAAACACATAACCATTAAATGTAAATTCATATTTTACTCAGTGTATAAAAAATATTATATGAAATGAATTTCCTCTAATGCTGGCAAAACATATTTATATCATAAATGTTAAAACCATCAAATCAAATAACGTATGGTTAAAGTGGGATTTTATATTTGATGTTTACACAAAGAGTTTATTCAGTTAATATTTGATAGATTTTGCTTTGTTTGTGTCCCGTCTTTTTAACCCAAATTCGATGAACGTTTTTTTGACATTTATATAGAATACAATTTTATGGGGAACTATATATGAAACGTAATAGAATTTGGGAGGAAATTGAATGCGACAGTATGGTAACAAATAGTAGGAACTCTCTGGTTTAAATTGATACTTTGCAGTGGGGAATCTGTTACCGTTTTTGCCACTTTTTACCCCGTATCTTTGGAACGCTTAGACCTGCCTTTGCCAAAAACTAATTAGCACGTCTCCTTATGAATACGAATCTAATGTTTTTTGAATGTTGTTGATCGGGATTCCCGAAATCGTCGACGAAAATTTGTATCCGCACGCTTTTGTCTAAGGTATGTCAAAATGTTCAAAAACCTTTGAAACGTAAAGATATATAAAAATTTTCATTTTCGAGTTTAACATCATAAAAGTTAATTTAATTCAAATATTATTTGTGATAGTTTTATTTCATTAATATAATGGAAATTATGTGAACGGATAATTTTGTAATAATTTTGATATTAATAATATTGGCTCTGTGAAATAATTGTACATAAAATCGAATCCATTATTTGTCTACATGGACTGATTTTTTTTATTAAACATTTAAAAATCTCAAGCACAAGATTTAATTTTAGATTAAGCGCGTGACATATGACATATAATGAATCTGGAGTATTTTACGATTGTCGGCAACGCTCGTTCACTAAATGACGTCACAGTCCTTTTCTATCTTTTGACACTTTGCGCTCGACTAGCAGTCCATGTAGCAACGTCTATGGTATTAGTTAATAAGTTACTTATTCATTCTAGATAATTGTAGTTAAGTTCATTGGATTTTACTTGCGCTATTTGCCTTAAGGCACGATGCCTTAATTGCCTTAAGACAGAATTCCACTTACAGCTAGTTTAACATCGATTTGGTAGTATGAGCTTTGTGGACGAATTTTTACCAAAAACTCATCAGCACGATTCCCAACCAATATCATTCGAACGGGCAGAACTGAGGGCTAAAACGTGGACGAAATTTTTTTCACTTTTCTGCTATTTACAGAGAAACGGCTTGACCGATCGTCGCGCAAAATTGATAAACGCCAGTCCTTATCGCGATACATCGAATCGCTTTTAAATTTTGAAATTCGGTTGAACCGTTTTTGAGAAAACGTCGATTTACGGCAAAAAATCTGTTCACATACACACACATACTTTTTTCAAATTTGGTCTCATTCGATTCAGAATGGCTTGAAACGTCGAGAAAACATAAAATTAGAAAATCGTATTTTTTGATGAAAACTTCTCCTTCGGGCAGTTAATAATAAAATATTTTTTAAAAATAAAAAAAATACAAATCTTTAAATTTTTTTCTTTCGCCTAAAGCAATCGTTTTGTCAAACTGCTATTTTTTACACATTTAGCTCTGTATCAACAAAATGAAACGGTTGCAAAATGAAAAATTGAATGTTTTTTGGATCATTCAAATCGGATGCTCTGTTCTCTCAAAACCTCGATTTCTCTTTTCTGCACTCTTTGCTCCGTATCTCCTAAAAAGCTGGACTTGCCTTTGCAAAAACCTAATCGGCTAACTATTCAAATGGAAAAATTCTATACATTACTCGTTTTTGAGATAATGAAGGATTTTATTTTATTCTGAATCGTTTGACATCAAAAACCTATGTATTTGTATGAATGTGTGAAAGGATAGTAGCCAAAATTGGATTCTCATCGTCGATTTTATACAAATATTGTAGAATTATATGAAACGTGATAACGACTCTCGTTGATGAGTTTCTCGATAAGTCGTTTTTTCAATTAGCAAATAAGTGCAAAAATATTTATTTACTTTTATATACATTGCATTTATTGCACTACATTATGTATAAAACACATAACCATTAAATGTAAATTCATATTTTACTCAGTGTATAAAAAATATTATATGAAATGAATTTCCTCTAATGCTGGCAAAACATATTTATATCATAAATGTTAAAACCATCAAATCAAATAACGTATGGTTAAAGTGGGATTTTATATTTGATGTTTACACAAAGAGTTTATTCAGTTAATATTTGATAGATTTTGCTTTGTTTGTGTCCCGTCTTTTTAACCCAAATTCGATGAACGTTTTTTTGACATTTATATAGAATACAATTTTATGGGGAACTATATATGAAACGTAATAGAATTTGGGAGGAAATTGAATGCGACAGTATGGTAACAAATAGTAGGAACTCTCTGGTTTAAATTGATACTTTGCAGTGGGGAATCTGTTACCGTTTTTGCCACTTTTTACCCCGTATCTTTGGAACGCTTAGACCTGCCTTTGCCAAAAACTAATTAGCACGTCTCCTTATGAATACGAATCTAATGTTTTTTGAATGTTGTTGATCGGGATTCCCGAAATCGTCGACGAAAATTTGTATCCGCACGCTTTTGTCTAAGGTATGTCAAAATGTTCAAAAACCTTTGAAACGTAAAGATATATAAAAATTTTCATTTTCGAGTTTAACATCATAAAAGTTAATTTAATTCAAATATTATTTGTGATAGTTTTATTTCATTAATATAATGGAAATTATGTGAACGGATAATTTTGTAATAATTTTGATATTAATAATATTGGCTCTGTGAAATAATTGTACATAAAATCGAATCCATTATTTGTCTACATGGACTGATTTTTTTTATTAAACATTTAAAAATCTCAAGCACAAGATTTAATTTTAGATTAAGCGCGTGACATATGACATATAATGAATCTGGAGTATTTTACGATTGTCGGCAACGCTCGTTCACTAAATGACGTCACAGTCCTTTTCTATCTTTTGACACTTTGCGCTCGACTAGCAGTCCATGTAGCAACGTCTATGGTATTAGTTAATAAGTTACTTATTCATTCTAGATAATTGTAGTTAAGTTCATTGGATTTTACTTGCGCTATTTGTTTGCTTTGCTCAATTATTTATGTTTGATATGCACATATGCATATATGAACACATGCAATCACGCGTCCCTCTTGTTAAATTTTTACTAAAGACGACTATAAAGCTATAGCTTATTGTATGAGTCTAGATTCACATAAATACTTTAATTATTATTCTATGAAGCTATCTTGATGATTTATAGAACATTTTAAGTGATTTATATTGGAAAATTAAATATTTGTCTAAATATTATTTTTGCTCACCAATATATGTTATCATCTACTCATTTTATATTTTTCTTTCAGATTTTTCAAATATCTCCGAAATGTCAGCGTGGAAGCCGACACGGGCCGCCCGCCCATAGAATTCACAGCTGACGGCGACCTGAGAGCCGCTGAGCTCAAAATCATGAATCTCAGGCCAGGTGTCTCCAGGCAGTTAGTATGGGAAGAGGTGAGAGCTTAAAATTCAATTTAGTAGGAAAATTGATTCGGGATTATACATTTCAGTCTAAACATAGTTAATTTAAAGATTTTATTCAACGACAAGAAGGTGCTAGAAAAGTATTGGATCTGCTAGTGATATAGTAGATCTGAATTCCTACTAGGAGGTCCTAGTAGTGTATTTTTGTTCGAATTGTAGCACAGTCGGGTTAGAAAAGTTCATATTGTGTTTTAAAGTATAAATATGGTCCGCAAGCATAGTTTTAACTTGTCTCGGATTTTTTAAATTGTTTTTATGTTGTTGTAAACGTTTAATTAAGTTCTTGCTTGTTTCACCTATGTAAATTAAATTACAATCTAGACAATTTATTTGATAGACGAGATTTCTAAGTTGTTGGTTTTTGTTTTGGTAAAAATAGTACTAGTTGTTGTACTAAAATTGTTCACAAGTCGGAGTCCCGATTTATGAAAAAGTTTTTTCCAAAAAACATACAAGTTATTAATATTATATATTAAGTCATTAATATTATATATAAGGTAAACATATTACACCAGAATGTATAGTTTCCACTGAATGAAGGCTAAGATTATAGCCGAAACGTATGGATTTTGAATAAATTTTTGAAAGTAATTTATGTTTTTATTGATGTTATGCCCGATTACTAGACTTTGTTAATACATATGTCAATATTAAATTCAGAATCATACAATATGACTGAAGAAAACTAGAATTTATTTTATAAAGCGGTAGTAAAAAAAACTACAAATATTCAAGAGATAATCATGAATAAAATTGAATAAAATTTCTTCTTTCATTCTATTTTAATATTTTTGTTATGTAATCACAGTACATATACAACGTTTTACCTTTAAAAGTATATCATTTATCCGACATAAGGGTTTCGCAGATAAAGAGGCTGAGAACCAACTTACTTTGAACGCGTTATTCAAGAATCATCATCTTGAAACGTGAAAAGATCAAAGATCATAATATTTACTTGTTTAAGGAAAAGTAGATTCTTATCACAAACCTGTGAAAGCCATGAAAGAAATGTCTTCTTTCAGCAAACGGAGCGATATCAAAAGACTAATAGAAAAGAATGGAAATAATCATATTTTGGGATCTAAAATTATTTTTAATGTATATTGTATTCAAATAATTATGAGATATATATATTGCATTATTAAAACAAACAAATGCGGTTATTGTTTAGGGTAGGGAGGGGCTCAAAGGTCCTTTTACTTTGTGCAACTTTATAGTGAAAACCAAACCGATATATATATATATGACAATAAATAACGCATATCAAACAAACAACTATCTGACTAAATTCAGTAAAATTCATAGCTAAATTCACCATTGCAAAAATTGCCTATGACTTAAATTGCTTCTCAAAGCCACTTGCCATTTAACTTATCATTGAAAATTTATATAGAAAGTTTTACGTAGACTTTGTTTTTTTAACTTTCCAGCAGACAATATGTTGTTTCCTCCAAAAAATCCAATTTGCTACTCTTATGCTTTCTCGACGTGTTTAAATTTTAATTTGTCAATTTTAATAAAAGTTTGTATGGTAGTAGAGTCCATCGTTTTAACGAACATTCTAAAATATTATAGGCCTATGAAAAGTGGTTTAATTATGAAAAGTTTTTCAAAAATTTGTCACATGTTCCTTTATACGTCACAAGCGGGGTAAAATGGCACAACCAGGGGGCAAACAAATTTCTAATGTTTTATTTTTATTAACTTCCCGTAGGGTAAGTTATTGTAATGGGCCGAAAATCGGAATTGAAAATTTTTACATTTCTCGACGTTTTGAAGGTTTCTGAACATTTTGGCATACCTCAGAAAAAATGGATGTGTGTGTGTGTGTGTGTGTGTATGTGTGTGTGTGTGTATGTATGTGTGGATACAAATTTCCAGTCACGTTTTAGGGCGCACGGATCAACCGATTTGAATGGTTCAAAAAACATTCGATTCCTATTGATAGGGAAAAGAGCTGATTAGTTTTTGGCAAAGGCAGGTCCAGCCGTTTCGGAGATACGGAGCAAAGAGTGCGGAAAATAGAAATCGAATTTTTGAGTGAACGGAGTATCCGATTTGAATGATCTAAAAAACATTCAATTAGTAATGATTGGGAGAAGTGTTTATTAGTTTTTGGCAAAGGCAGGCCCAGCCATTTCGAAGATACGGAGCTAAATATGTAAAAAATGGCAGTTTTTGAGAGAACTAAGCGTCCGATTTGAATGATTCAAAAAACTTTGTGCTTGTCTTAACAAAATAATTGATTTTGGAAAAAAAATTTTTGTGCCATTTTTTTTTTTTTTTTTTTTTTTTTTTTTTTTTTTTTTTTTTTTTTTTTAGTTTTTTGTTGATACAAATAATTTCAACTTTGCAATTCAGTTTATATAATTCTTATAAATATTAGACAATGTTACAATATTTATAATAATCTATTTGAAAACATTCAGTATTCCTCGAACATTTCGTTACGGTACGGGAAGTTCCAGCAATTTGCCTTAAGGCACGATGCCACCCACCCCACTAGTTTTAAATATATATTGCGTAATGATAACTACATTATTTAACCTATGCAAAATATAAATGTTGTGATGCATTTTTTGCATAGATAACACTGTTTATAACCTTGATATGGTATTTAGTTAGAAATATTCATCAGCAGAGAATTTCTTGTAATTTTTTTCAACTTAATTTACTTATTCTTATATACTATTTTTTTTTTACTTTGCCAGAGTAGAGGTTTAGTTGGTCTTTTTTTACCCCACTTTCGTTGTAAGCTTTTATAGGGGTTAAATGAAAAACTGTAAAATTTGACCTAAAATTAACTATACATCTTATAAAACAATTATATAACGTATATTTAAACATTACATTAAAGTCTTGTAAACTAAACAACAGTGCTCACTGCCATTAAAACTAGCAATGAGAGAAAATACTTCTAATATAGCTTTTTAAACATAGTCATTCAATCCCTGTTAGCAACGTTGCTTGATTTAAAGCAATGGCTGGTTACACATCTTTTACTCTCAACTTTCAAATATTGTTGTTAAGAAATTCTTAACGTTACTTATTTTTGTGATAATGATGACGGGCTTTTTTACCCGTGGACCTTCAGGCCCTACTCTACCCTATGTATCTAAATTGCATCAACAGGTTATGAAAATAAAAAAAATGTATGATAAACAATATGATAGAATTACAATAAAAATAAAATCACTGTAGCATGTGAAAAACAAAGATACCAATTCCAAAGAACTTCATATAATAAATTAAATATATCATCAACGTTGTGTCTTAGACTAGTCCAACGCTTTCAATAAGTAGGTACTCTAAGACATTCCCCTTCTATTTGAATATTCTGAAATCTTGAAAATCCACACTTACGTATCAATGAATTCTAAACACGTCAAATCTTTGTTTCATCTCAGATCGGAGTATGGAAATCATGGCAGAAGGAGGGCCTGGACATCAAAGACATTGTTTGGCCCGGCAACTCGCATACGCCTCCCCAAGGCGTTCCGGAGAAGTTCCACTTGAAGATCACATTTCTGGAGGAGCCTCCGTACATCAACACGGCGCCCCCCGATCCAGTTACTGGAAAATGTCTTATGGATCGCGGAGTTCTCTGTAGAGTGGCACCGGATCATGATATGAAAGAGTGAGTAAATACTAATACTAATAATATTTTTATAAATATTTGATTACTTTTCTCGAAATAGTTAATCATGTTGGTATACAACAAAAGGTATATTATTCTAAAAATCGTATGATGGTTAATGAGGGTGAGGAACTACGGATTTTGCAAAGTTCAACAGATCAATGTGTATTCAATTCAATGATAGAGTATTTAAAATTCAAGGGCCTTGCCGTAAAATTAAAACTTTAATCCTAAACAATTATTGAAATTTTGGCATTATATAAACAAATATTCATCAAATTATATGGAAATCAACTGTGCATCGTAATATGACAATTTTACCTTGTGTTTTTAATCTTTTACTCATAACTCGACAAATAAGCCAATAGCTCGAATTAATTCAATACTATTTAATAATATTTATAAGTGGATTATATTAAACAGCGCCTAAGGAAATATTATTTTCACAACTTCACGCATCATGTAATGGTGTTTGAAGAACTTCATGTAATTAAAATTAACATACACTCATTGACTGCTTGTATTTTTTAAAAAAGTTATATAGTTGAATATAGATATATGAATCTATACTCAGCTATCTATAAATATTATTGATAGCTAAAAATATATATTGTGAAATTTTCACTTTCTATTAATTACCATATCAATTTGATCTCTCCAGTTGGAAGTGCTTCAAATTGTACAAAAAAAGTCAATATATTTGTGCATTAGCTGAACAAATTGATAAATAATTTCCCTATTTTTATTTTTTTCTTAATTTTTACTCAATATTCTTCTCTTTGATGTCTGAAGTATCGATTCGATTCAGAATATAATCGCCAAATAGCCTCTAAGTGAGCGATTTTTATATATATGGGGCAGATGGATCTGATTTTTTTTTAAAGATTAATCTCAGCCTTCTGGGTGAAATGTCACGTCTAGCAAATTTCTTCTATTTGGACCAAATGAACTGGCACAGATCTGTACTCATAGATGGAAAAATATTCACAGTTTCTACTTAGATCTTTTAAAATGTGATGATTTTGTTTAAGTGAAATTTCAGATTTTTATTTTAATTCGAACATTTAGGTAATAAAATCTCAGAAATTTTAATTTTTATATTTTTTTAAAGGCAGTATTTTGATATTTTGTTGACCTAATACATTTAGAGTATTTTTGGGCGACTCATTTTTATGAACTCGAATGAGAATTATAATAATAATATTAGAAGTCTAGGGAAATATTTACCTAATCAGTTCAGAATATTTTTTGCACAGTCTATCTATGTTTGAAAATTTAAATAATTTATAAGTATTAAAGTAACTGGATCGGGGGGCGCCGTGTTGATGTCCAGCTTTTGCATATACGAGGTCTGTTCAAAAAGTACCCGGAATTTTCGTTTTTTCAAAAAAATATTTATTTATTCGTCTACATTAATGTGGTCCCCTTCAAAGTAGTCCCCCCCAGATATAATACACTTATGCCAGCGTTTTTTCCAATTTTCGAAGCACCCTTGATATTCACTTTTTGATATGTCCTTGAGCACTCTCAGCGATTTTCTTCAATCGAGGAAAACCGCCGTCCTTTCATGGGTCTCTTCAACTTTGGGAATAGGAAAAAGTCACACGGAGCCATATCTGGTGAATTTTTGCACTTTGCAACACTTTATTTTATTTTTTACGCAAAATTTAATACAAATTCTTTGACTTTTCAATTCTTCCATTGTAAAAATCGCCGAGCTCAGAAAAACACGTCGAACCTTAGCGACTACCACAGACAAAGTAAACAGTGAATATAGCTGAAAATTTCATCATACTTTAGGGGCATGTATACCAACACAATAAAAAAAAATTTTGACAATCAGACACTCCAGACCCGCGAAATTTAATTATTAGTAATTCCGGGTACTTTTTGAACACACCTCGTATATGGTATTTGTGAGAATTTCTAAAATATCGAAACTCATTAGATGATTCTTAATTTCAATATTATCAATAATATTTTAAAATGAAAATTTTCAAAATATATTTGTACGACAGTTTTCATTTGTAATGAGGATACATCTATTCTTTGTAGATCTTTTGCATATTGAATATAAAAAATAGAATATTATCAAAACTACATTCTATGAATTGCTTGTAATAAATTCATTCTGATGCAGAATAAATATTGGTACTTTTCACAAAATATTTTACAAGAAATACTGACTCATTCTTAAAACATTGATATATTAGCAACTTTTTATTTATAGTTTAGTTAAAAATAACAATAAATTATAGCATGATGTATTTTTAAAATATGCAAATTTTGAAGAAATACAGGTGTAGAAAAGCGTAAAGAATTGGCAAATACGTTAAATGTAGTTTTATCTATATAGTAGAGTCAATCCTTAAATTCATCGCCCATGTAATAATTGAGATTTTTCATAATCTTTCAATGTTTAGAGCAAAATTGTCTTTACTTCACTCAAGTTACCACTTGGAAGTGGTAATTTTCTTCTGGCAAACATAATATATTACTGCAATTAACAATTGTATAATGGAGGAACCATTATCTGGTATCATCTGAAACCATTGTATGAATTGGTTCTAGAAAAAATGCAATATAATTTAAACCAAAAATTATAAATTTAGAACAAAGTTTCTATGGAAAATATACTACTATCTGATATACTATAAATCCTGCAGTTCACGATCTTCCATACCAATATCAATGTCATTTATGCAAATCTCAACTTTTATATTCCTATAAAGTGTTATAACTACTCCATAAATTTTCATCAGGAATTCAACACTGTCCCAAGAACGATCCTAACTAAGCAGCCACGTCCTTTTGCTATCCGATTTCTCAATAATCACGAGAGCCATCCTTCCATCCTTCCATCCTTCGGCCGGCTGGTAAAAAAAATATAATGTCCCCCGCTGGGAATAAAGAGAGAAATGCGTGACCAGCGTTACCCACGTACGATTGTGGCAAAAAGGTTACATTTCGAGAGGATCCTACATTATTGCGAATCCAGTAAATATGCGATTTAGGTAGCTCATAAAAATAAATTACTAGGCGGCACATAGAAAATTCTATTGCCGTTTATAGAATCTGAGAAATTTTATTATTATTTACAGAGGTTTAATACTAAAATAGTTTCATTTAGTGCTGTAACTGGTCACCAAAATGCCAAATTTGTGATTTTTTTAAGTATTTTTTTCTAATGATTTTAACTTTCCGTAGGGTAAGTTATAGTACTCGTCCAAAATTAGAAAATAAAAAATTGTGCATTGATCTTCACGTTTCGAAGGTTTCTGAACATTTTGGCAAACCTTAGAAAAAATATATGTCTGTGTGTAAATATAATTATAATTTTGGTCCCTAATTTCGGGCGAACAGATTAGCCTATTTGAATAATTTCACAAATCCTTCTGTTGGGGATACGTGCTGATTTGTTTTTGACAAAGACAGGTCCAGCCGTTTCGGAGATACAAAGCAAAGAATGCAGAAAATAGAAATTAAGTTTTTGAGAGAACAGACTATCTGATTTGAATGATTTAAAATGCATCAAATTTATAATGATGGGAAGATGTGGTGATTAGTTTTTTGCAAAGACAGGTCCAGCCGTTTTGGAGATACGTAGCTAAATGCGCAAAAACTGGTAGTTTTTGCGAGAACAAAGCATTTGATTTGAATAATTTAAATAACATTTTTGTTTATATTGAAAGACAGTGTGGAAAAACAATTAGTTTTGGGGCAAGCAAACAAAAAATTTCATTTTTTTTATTTCCAAAAAATATTTATTTGAATATCAAAAATGATTCAAGTTCACTCTCAGTTATAGATAGAATTCTAATTATAGAACAAATCATTTGATTTAAATGATTTAAATAGCATTTTTGTTTATGTTGAAAGTGTGAAGAAACAATTAGATTTTGGGGAAAACATAAAAAATTGTTTCAAATAAAAATTATTTGAAAAAATATTTTTTTTAATATCAAAAATGGTTCAGGTTCACTCCTAATTATAGACAAAATTCTAAAGCTCACTTACATACATGAAATAAATAATATTAGTTTGGCAAGTGAGTTGATATAAATTTTAAAAATATGAAATAAAATCATTAATTTTAACCGTTTTATTAAGTCTTATTTTTTTACATTTTATATAAATATATATAAACGTCGTCGTCCAATTTATAAGGTACTATACATTTTGTATATAAAATACGAATAATAAGAGTAACAGTATTTATAATAATATATTTGAAAACATTTAATTTTCTTGGAATATTTCGTTACGAATTTTTTAGCAATTTGCCTTAAGGCAAGATTAGTTTGCCTCAATGCACCATTAATTAGTATATTATTTTGAAAATACAAATTTTTAATTTAATGCTCTATCTTTTGCGAATTCTTAATCGCTGGTTTATGTAGACAAATAGCCAACTATTTTTAGAATCCTATAAATTCTACTATTAATTTAATAACGATAAAATTAATAATTACTCATCATAAATATAATTGTTAGAATTATAATCAGATTTTGAATTTGCAATAAATATAATATATATTCGGTGGTAAAAATATGAACCATCAATATAAAATCTCGTGGATCTTCAGTGAGAAAATCTGATTTCTCTTTATTGTTATACTTAAAAAAACAAAAAACTTATATTTGATGTTAATTAAGAACAATATATATTAATGCTAATAATAGTTTAGCTTTAAATTCACAGAAATTTAAAGTTGCCCTATTCTATCTTTTGTGGAGTCTTTGTTGAGCGAGTTAGATTTTTACTAGTCGTTTTATTTTGGAATGGTAACCAACATCCATCAAATTTAAAACAACAAAATAATTAATAACTAGACATAAACATATGTCTATATATAATTTATTTTTATATATTTTTTGAAAAAAAAAATGTGTATAGCGTTTACAATGAATTTAAAATCAATTACATCATTTGCATCATCGGGTAAAAGTATCAACATTCTTGGAGCAGTTGGTAATTATACTTAGATATAATTTATTTC